GTGAGACAATCATTGTATGAAAGCTGCAATGGAACAGAAAGTTCGGGTTCAGAGGCCTCAGCGTCCTGGTCAGGAGGCTGATCCCCTACAGACACCTTCCTCAACACTCTCAATATCAAAACATACCCTAGGGCCAGACCTAAAACAGTAGTGTATCCTCCCCTCATTCCCCAGGCCAAAATAGTGTTTATAACAACTTAATTATGAAATAAAATGAGCAATAGCTAGTAAGCTGCCATAGAGCGAAAATGTATTTATCTGTATAAGGATATATTCCTGTTAGGCATCTTTTTAATCTTTTTAATTAAAAAGCTCATGCCAATTTGTCATTTAGCATAATCATTGCTATGCATTCGGATAGTATAGAAACCATGTAAATGGCAAGCACTCTAAGTGTGACAGGTAATGAGCAAAGCTTGGACATCAGATAGATTTGGTACATTAAATACATTTTTCATTGTGGGGACACATTTAAGACAGAGAATCTGAGGTGTGGGGACATGCTCTGAGCAAACACCACCTGCTCTTTTGGGGTTTGGCAGAACCTTGTAACTTGTCTTTCCCTGACCTTGGCTGCAGAAAGAACAAGGGTGGAAATTGCTAGGGGCGTTCCAACAGACACATCTGATGGACTTCAAGAAATATCTTGACCCCCAACTAGTAAAATCCAATCCCTTCTCTGCATCTGAAAGGTTCTTTAGACTTCTCTGGGTGTGGTGGTGCACTCCTTATAGAGAAGTTCTTTAGCTCCTTCCCAACATCTAACAGCTAGTTCTCTACATTAGAAAAGAAGATGAGATTTTCTCTTGATGAGATTATCACCAAGGGATACACCTGGCCCTGGTATGACTAATCTCTTATAGACTTGTTAACTGCTTCTTATTGTCTGTAACCTGGCAACCAATCTATGAAGTATCATGAAACATACATGTGTAATGTCTCTTTGTACTGTAAATAAAGACTTCCGGTTTGTCTGGGCGGCACAAGTTGCTCGGGCTGCCTAGGCTCAGGCTGCCTGTGTCTGTTTCTATTCTATCCCTTTGTCTCATTCTTTCCAATTCTCAGGTCCTGGCAAGATGGAGGGCTTCCTCTTTCTTGTGCTCTTTCTCTTCCTCACCAGCAGCCCCCTGATCATGATTCAGTCAGACCCAAGCCCTGGGGCGGACGCCGACATTTCATTTAAGATAATTTTCAACTTATGAGTTTATTGGGAAGTAATCCCATTGTAACTCAAGGAATAGCTATGCATTTCTTTTTAAATTCCTTTTAAAAAAATTAAAAAGGATCCATGGCAGGTAAACTTATGCATCATATGAATATTCCTCTTGTGTTCTGATAAGTAATTAAAATGGGTACAACACTCTAAGTTGAAAAACCATTTTCTTCTACACCTTGAACATATTAATCCATTCTCTTCTAGTATGACCTATTGACTGATGATAGTTTGAATCTCATTTTTTTGTAAGTAAACTGTTTTATGCTTATTTTCTTGCTTTGCACACATTATTTTGCTAAAACTTCATAAAGAACACAGTAAGTTGTGATTCGTTTTTTCAGTCTTATGACTGATGTCACCGGCATTCATATATTGTCTGTCTTTAGTAATTTCCTGCCTATGTCTTTTATTTTTCTGTTTGTTAGATACAGGACATTTTAAAATACTCTTCATTTACTTAATCATATTTTCTATTCGTCTTGTTGTTTTGTACATTTTGGAAAATAGTATTGACTCTATTGTCCAACCATTCAATCATTTTATTTTTAATTGCAGAACTTTGTTTTTAGATACTATGAGTTTGTCTGGGGTTTTTCTGGATGTATTTTGTTGTCATTGTTGGTTTTGTTTTGTTTTGAGAGAGAGATTTTTGCTTTAGGGTGCATGTGCACCCAGTGAGATGGAGAGAGACACAGAGAAAGTAAGAAATCACCTCCCCTCCTCGAGAGAATAGCCACACCACAATATCTTCTCCCTCATCCTCCTCTTGGGATTTTGGGCATGCACACATACATGCCTGGTGTGATTTTTAAGTTGCCAGGTCTGGGACTCAAATACATTTAGCCATGTGGGAGTCCAGAGCCTTAACCACTATGCCACCTTCTGGCCTCATTAGTTCTTTTTTATACGCTGATTTTCTTTTCATGGTCGATGCATCTTCATCAGGTAGAATATATTTTCAACTTCTCTGAGTCTATCATTTGAAACTTTTTCAGTTTTTTCACTGTTACTTTATCACTTTCCTCTGGGATCGGCTCTTTTTTGTAGGTTTATCTTGGTCTTTTATGTTTTGGTGTTTCTGATATGCCATGGGATGACAAATTTGCCATTTATTTATAAGGAAGAAAGATTAAGGCACTGCTATAGGATTCTTGGGCTGTTTTGTAAATCAATTTCATTCCTGCCAAGTCTTTGCCTGGAGTGGAAATTCTTTCTTGGAGCTCCTTGTGGGAAAAGGCAGGAAATGTCAACTAAGAGGTTACAGGACTGTGAGCCCCTCGAGTGTCAGGCTGAGGACAGTGTAATGTCAGATTGTAAATGCCACCCACCCATATGTCTACCCGCCATCCATTCATTCCTTTAGACGGGATCACGCTACTTCCTTATTGAGATGTGAATGCCACGTGACCCACTAATGCACAAGAAGAGGGGGTGAGGCATGGGCAGGATAGCTGGCTGGTATAAAAGCTTCACCGATCTTTAGTCAATCCCCTTGCTTTCCCTCTCCACTTCTCCACTTCTGTCACACTTGCAGACCATACACCTCTAGCCTCTCAGGAACTCCATTACATAATTTGACCCTGATTCTTCTAGGGTTCCCTGAGAGCCTATCTCGGGAGATAGTTTTCTTTGCATTTTTGTCCTCTTGGCCTTTCCCTTTACGTCTTGTTTCTTGCATGCAATTCTTGCAATTTCTCTTATTTGCAAACCTCATCTTCCTTTGCTTTGCTGTCATTGGCTTAGATATTTGGATTTCTATACTTCAATTTCACTGTGGTCTTAGGTTTGGTAAGAGGACACATTGGTAGTCAGGCTGTCCTTTGGAACCAGAAACTCAATATGCTATTATTTAAAAAATATTTGGAAAACAGTTCCTTAAAAAATATGCTATGAATACACTTCTGTCCAACAGAACTTTCTAGGATGGAAGTTTTTTAGAGCTGTGAAGCTGCAAATTATAGCCACTATCCACATGTACTATTAAGTAACTGAAATGTGGCAACGTGACTAAGAAACTAAAATTTTACTTTTATATAATTTATTTTATTGCCATAGAGCATGCGTGCTTGCCAGAAAGAGACAAAGAGTAAGTGGAGGAGGAGAAAGTACACCCCAATCAGATGGTTAGGCTAAAATTCTTTGTCCTCCATCTGTTCATCCTACTGGGATTTTTGGTGCACACATACACACATACCCAGTATGTCTTCAGACCACCAGGGCCAGAATTTGAACTGTAGGTGGCCATGTGGGTTATGTCTCTCATAACACTAGGCTAAGATTAGGCCCTACTTTCATATCATTTCAATGACTTTAAATAGCCACATGTGGCTATTGGCTACTATATTGGGCAACTCAGTTTTAATATTTACTTAAGTTACCTATTTTAAAAAAG